CCCCAGCCAGCCTTGCTGGCTGGGGAATTCTGGGAGTTGAAGTCCACAGGTCTTAAAGTGGCCCAGGTTGAGCATCACTAGACTAGAACCTTAAATTTTGGTTTCAGAGGTGCTAGCCAAAGTATATGTTTCTCAAGAAGACAGTGCCACAGCATTTCTGCTAAGGCGGCAAACACCAAAAGAGGATGAAGGTTTGAAAGCAGAGCATGGTCGAACACTTCAAGATGGCGGCGATCCAAAGCGCCGCCTGTTTTTTAAGGCGCGTCGATGCGTTCTTGGACGATCCCCAACACTAAAGAGCTTCAGATGTTACTTTTTGAAGCTCAGTGTAAAGTATGGGAATCTGCAGCAAACGTTCGCCCTGGATTTTATTTATTTATTTACTTACTTTGTTATTTTTAATTCAAATTTGTCCCCACCCTTTTCACTACAGAGTGACTCTGGGCGGCTTATGGGAAAAACAGAAAAAATATTAATTAAACTAAAAATAAGTATGAATTAATTAATTAAAATACACTACCACCACAGAAAAGAGGATGATGGGGTTTCTTGGAAGCCACCAGGCTGGGGACAGCTGACCTGGATACAGGCAAACCTGGCATTTACTTTTCATCCTGTGCCAGGATGAAATTACTCTCCTCTGACACCAGAGGGAGCCGTTAACCCGCTTTCTGCTGGGCGTAGAGCACCACCAGTGGACAGGTGGTGGAACTGCAGCTTCCTGTTTCCCTGCTGCCAGGGGGACAAACTTCTTTTTTTTTCTCCTTTGGGGTGGGGGCTAAGTAGTTCTTAGGCTGGCTTTCTTAATTCATCTGGCCCCGGACTTCCCAGGATAGATCAGGGACGTGCTAGCCCCTCTCTTTCCGTTCCAAAACGAGCCCCACGGCGGTCGGTGAGATTTACTCCTAGGAAGGCATGCTGAGATCTACAGCAACATTCCCTCTTGTTAGTGCAAGCCCTCAACGTGATTTTTTTAAAACTGGGGGAAATGGCAGATGTTTCCCTATGGGTTCTGAATGTGCAATGCCTGAGCAAAACAAGAAGAGAAAGACTGTGTGCGTGTGTATCTTTGCAAGCAATTAAATCTTCCCAGCTTTAAAACTTCTCAAATATTTATGTCATAGGCTTCTTTATGCTGGACCAAGGGCACCTGGGGTCAAAAAAGTCAAGATGGCGGCTACAACCACATGATTAAACCCTGTTTTACATCCACTGCAGCACCTATTTAAGAGGCGTGGGGCTTCAATGGCACGGCGGTGACTGCCATCTTGACCTTTTTGACCCTCTGTCCTGGACTGCACGGTGGCTGAAAACTAGAGCAGTCAGTGCGGCGATAACCATCATCCTAACCAAGATATTAATACTGCACAGCGAGCAAAAAAGAGGGCTCAAATTTTCCCTATTATTTTCTCATGATTTTTTTCCCCTTTTGGAATTTCTTGGGGAAAAAAAGAATCCTTTTGCAACTTTGTGTAGTGGGCAAACCGGAAGATCTACATCCAATGAAAGAGATGGAAGAGAAAGAATTATGGGGCACGTGTATAGTTTGCAAAAAGTATCTGTCCGTCGTTTTCCTTTCTTCTCCAGCAATTCTGCAAAAATAGTGCTTTGACCATGTTCGTTCCAGTTCTCTCAACACTGGCAAGTGCGCCCTTTGCAGCCCCGAGATCACCCCCTACCACTCCCATTGTCTGTCTTCCTGCAACACACATCATCATCATGGAATACTAGTTTACTCTTGGTTAGTATTTTTTTTTTGCTAAACCTTTGCTGCTGGATTAGTTTAGGGCTCAGGGTATGGTGCGAATGCTGAAACGGACACACACCTGAGAGATGTCTTGGGCCGCTGCACTGTAGAGCTGATGCACGGCGTAGCTATGAAGCTCCTTTGCTCCTCCAATCAGGTGGATGAGGTTAGGCACGGCGTCATCCCGCACGTACGAGCCAGCCTGCCAAGGAGACGGAGAGCAACCGGGAAGGTGACATTTGTGCTCCACCCAAAGGATCCTCTTCACTTACTTTATCACTTTTCCCCAGCGGAGAAGCAGGAGCAGGAGAGGACAACTTTTGTGAAGGAGGTGAACCCACCGGGAAATCGACCCTGCCTGTCCTACACAACACAACCTCTAGAGGGCAGCAGCAGATTAAACTTTTCTGGGTCTCTGCTGCCCCCTAGCAGACACCATCTCCTGCCACCATCCTCGGTCTCACCATGGTCAGAACCTGGAGAACGGTATCAATGTGCCACCGCTTGCTGGGTGCGAACCTGTGGAAGGAGGTCAAAAGGCAGAAGATGGACACGTCCTCCTATTCCCCAGCTCTCCCCAGCCCCCCCTGCAGGCGATGGTGGAACTGACTCACTTCTCCGCGGCCAAGAAGAGTCCAGAAGCGCACTCGGACTTGAGGTCCGGGGGACTGCTTTCCAAGAAACTGAGCAATTCCTTGCTGGTTGTCCGAATGTTCGTGTGGTTTATCAGGGACAAGCTCAGCTGGAGGGCTCTCCTGCGGAGCACAAATCAGAACCTCGGTCTTCCCTCTCGCCAGACACGGAGCCTGCGCCCCTCTTCGGGCCTTCAGCTCACCTTTTCACCGTTGGGTCGGGGTCTGTCAGGCAGGCGAGGACGGTGGCCCGGTGCCTCTGGACGGCGCTGTTTTCCGCTTGCAACAATTTCTGGAGCGATGCGAGGGCCACGTACCTAAACATGCCATCAATTGAAATGAGGATCCGATCGTGCACGGCGCAGCTGCTCTGCGCTTTAAGAGCCTCTGGGGATGCTGCCCCCTCGCATGCTTTCTCCAGCAGGCCACTGGAGGGCATCTTTCAGAAATCACCTTAAAACCACCTTCCCCTTCTGGATCGAGCATTATCGTTCGTACCGCAAGTTCGTGAGAAAAACAGAATGAGCCACGGAACTGAATGATCTCTGGAGCATTTGTGGGGCTAGAAGATGCGGTTTGGGTGGAAGATGCTGTTTAGAGAAGCGGAGGAAAGCTCAAATGAACATTTGGGGGGGGGCAGATTTGAACTCGGACAGGCAGCAAAACTCAGCCAAAGATGAGCCGAATACAGTCCTCTGCTAGGGAATTATTCAGATTCTTGGGGATGAAATGCAAAATTTGAAAAACACAGAATAGGGTGCCTGGCAGCTATTTCTACACAAGGCTCAATTCAGGTGAGTGCGAAACTAGGTCTCACCTGGCTCAACCTGGATAGTTTTAACACATCTGGTTTTAATTTTGATTTTCTTTTGTTTTTACCTGATATTCCTATCCTTGTTAAGGAGAAATCGCCCAAGGATATTTATTGCCAGAACCTATGTATGAAAAAAAGAAGAAACACCTTTACTTCTTAAAATGTAACTGATGTAAAAGCGGGATTAGGAAAGGATGGCTGAGTCAAGGATAGGTTGTGGAACTACCAGACTCATGATTTTAGCTCACCTCCGTACAGGAGGTGCTAAGAGCAGAGGGCGTCTGGGGCCCTGAGAAACCTACAAGGACAATCCATACCACACATTGCAGTACCCTCAACCCTTAACCAACGAGGCTAAAGAGAGAAACGTTGCTTTAAACCAGACAAACACTGATCTTTGCGTTTTACAATTTCACGGTACCCGCAATCCGCTGGTAGACTGGATTCCCATAATGGTCAACACCGTCTCGTACAAGATGGCATTGCCCACGTTCCGCGCGGTCTCGGTGTTGGTTGCCACCTGGATGAAGGAAGAAGGAAAGCGTCACCACCCGCCTCTTCACTTTACATTTTTCCAAACCGCTCTGTTGCCCCAGAGGAGAAGCCAGAAAATGGCACCATCTCTCTTCAAAGCGTTCCCACATCCTATGATCTCCAGTAACCCAACGAAAACTAAAATAGGGAATGTATTCTTTATTCTCATTTGTTCCTGGGTTAATCTTAAAGTTCTCAAACCACCCTCTCCTTCCCAAATGTCCCTCTTCTCGTTTACCTGTGCCAAGGAGTCGTTCATGGCATCGCTGGCCTCCCCGTTGTCTCGTCCCAAAATCCGTAGCAACCGGAGAAGCTGGACCTTTGGGGAGGGAGAGTAAAGATACAGGAGCAAGAAGGACTCAGAGAGGTGACAACAGATTATTGGAATTTGGGTTGAGAAGCTAGTAAAGAGGAGACCCTTAACAAACTTGTTTGACCCAACTGCTAAGCGGCTCCAGCTGTTGAGAAGCGCAGTGCTCCAGCCACATCTGCAAAATGTTTTGACTGGTGGACCTACCTAAGCATCTGCAGGCTAAGCCTGTCCTTTCCCAAACACCTTTGCTGCCCACCCCATGTCCTTGCCATTGCCTGCTTTTTTCAGCTGTTGCCTTCTGTAGGCATCGTAGCAAGAAGGCAAGGAGATCTTCTACCTGTAGGAAAGGTTCACTGATGCCCGCAATGCTGTTATTCGGACAATATCCAGCCACCACCAGATTGCGCAACACCCCGGCCAGCTGGGGAACAAACTGCGGAGAAGGGCAAAGAGAAGGAGGTCAAGACAGTGTGGGCCTGGGAATGTCTTTCTAGGGGTCTTGCATCCCATCATCCACAGCCAGGGCCCTCCTGCATGCTGGAAAGCTGTTCCCTGGGACAAATGGCATCTTATGCATCTCGGTTAATGCTAGGTGGATTCCATGTGCAAAATTCGTGTAGGTGTCAGTTCTGGATCCCAGTTGCTCTTCTTCTTGAACAGTGTTTCTCAACCTTGGGAACTTGAAGATGTGTGGGCTTCAACTCCCAGCATTCCCCAGCCAGCACGGCTGGCTGGGGAATGCTG